GCATCAAGCCATATAGAATCGAGTGCTTTTTAATAAATATGTATGTAACATGGGAATTCGCTTCGACAAGAGAGCCTGAGACATTCTCGGGCCGGGCAGTAAAGGGATTAAACGTTAACCCTCCAATCGGAACTAACATTCAACGCACATCTGGGATAGTGACGTTGTCATGACCCCATTTGCAAATCGAGCTTTAAGGATTCAAGAATTGGGGTTGTTAGAGTGGGTTGGGGGGTAGGGGGTAGGGGTAGATTCGAAATTTACCGTTACCAGATTCCGGATCTCAATTTTCCCATGATTGGTTTCGGGCGAGAATATTCCCTCTTGAAGAGTGGATCAAAACTGACCCTAAGGCTGATTGTCTCCGGCTGTAATTTGGTACGTGTTTAGAGAGGAGATTTCCGATCATCTTAACTTGAGAAAGGTCGGCAGGAAAATTGGGGAAGCTTATGGGCAGAGAGTTTGGGGAAAGGGTGGTGTGTGGGTTCTGATTTGGGAGGGGAGGGGGGTGTATTTGGGAGCTAGCTGGGTGGGGAGGCGGTTGGCCGAGCGTGGTGTTGGGCACGGAAGAGGGTAGAATTAAAAAAAAAAAAAAAATTAAAGCTAGAGCGACATGTACCTAATCTGTGTGTTAAGTTGCTTGTGTGTGCGTGAGATGGAGGTGGGGGGAGGGGGTGGGAGGAATGTGTGTGAGTGTATTCATCCTCTAAAATATTTTTTCTATATGGTCGCTCTTAAGCACGACGGGGTTATCCAGAAAAATTGTGTTTTTGGAAAATCGAAGGTAAAGTTTTTGGACCCTGGTTCAGTTTCTTTAAAAGACAAGCAGAGTTTTCTCTATAACTAAACAAATATATACACCAATGAAACCAAACTTCTCCTATAGGTGGGGCAATGCCCACGTTTAGTGTAGGTCAAGATTTCTGGAAACCCCTGAAATCTGGGTTCGCCTACTTGTCCATAAATGTGACGATATTACTCTCTGGCGTGTATGAAACGCAGTGCCAAATTAGTTAATATCTATCACTATTTTTAAGAGATGCCTTTAAGAAAATCTGAGAACTTTCAAAATACCATTGTGCTGCCATTGTCAGCTGATGTAATAGACTTTTGAGTCTGTGTAATATTGATGTATTAGGATTGTGTACACATAATATGAGTTGGTGCATGTGTGCATACGTGTATTTGCGTGTGTGTGTGTATGTGTGTGTGCGTATGTGTGTGTGCGTGAGAAAGAGTGTGTGTGCGTATGTGTTTGCGTGAGTGTGTGTGTGTGTGCGTATGTTTATGTGTGTGTTTGTGTGCGTGTGTGTGTGTGTGTGTGTGTGTGTG